ATATATATATATAAACATTACTAATTCATTTCATTTCATTTTACTACATCATAGTTAAGTTCCCAAGATACAAACACTTTATGATTTAGTGGAACAAGAGTCCAAAGCACAATAGAATCCATCTAACCTTTCTAGCACCCATACACAACCCACATAATGTCTATGGAGCCTTTAAAGATACAAAAGATAGTTATGACAATACCGGCGATAAGGCCCCGACTATACCTCAAAACATGGTAAAAATATGAACAAGAGATACAATACATGACTCCGGGATGAAATGGGGCTCACCACGACTGCTGAGAAGAGGATGCACTGCTAGTTGTGATCAACACTGTCTGTTATGGAACCACCTACATCCATTCAAAGATGTAGCGCCCGGCAAAAAGAACGTTAGTATTGTCGAATAGTACTAGTATGTAAAGCTAAAATACCATCTCAATAGAACGAACAATAATACAAGGGGAAAAAAGTCATGAGTTCAATAAGAGCTTCAAACAATACTAAAACATCAAGTAAGGATCACATAATTTCTCAATCAATTTCCATCTTATTAGGTTGGTTAATATTTAGTGTCATGTGCCACCATCCATAATACCACCGTGTTCTTACACGGAGTCTGATCTCGACCCGATCGGTTATGTCATCTCATTTGAGACATCAACCATATCCATAATCTCAATCATCATTTCCAGCACAATTACGACCATGTGTGCGATATGGCGTCCGATCATGGCCCTATCGGCTAGGCCATCTCACTTGAGACATCATCCTTTCAATAAATCATCTCACTTCATATTTCTTTCCCATCTTTCAATACATTGGCACGAATGGCCTAGTTTATTAAGTCATTTTTGGCACTTGTCCGTATTTCACAATTCAAGTTCCCTTTTTACACATTCAATAACATTATCATCAGCAACAATAAGACCTATCATGTAAGGCATTTGTACACATAAGGGAAAAACTTGAAAAGTCCTAAGCACATAGAGGCCTTTCATACAAATTGGCGTAACAACCTTTATTCGATTTTTTTGACATGAAGTCTTAACCTTTATTAACACATATTTTAAATTATTAAACACATACTCAAATGGCATGATGGCATGATAAACATTTAGAGCAAATATTGAATATGTTTCATTCAACACAGCACATTAGGGCAGTCAAATTTAATATGATCAATTTGGGGACTTACACCGACTACTCGAACACCAAGGGTTTCGATTCTAAGAATAAGGGGGTTTAGCCATACATACCTCGATTGAGCTCCCCTAAACTTTAAGATATTCTGGAATATTAGCAACTTCAATCTATTTTAATAATATAGCAAAATTGAACCAAAAATTAGAAAAACGATCATGATTCTAGATCACTTGAGCATCTTATCAAACACTATGTGTGTATTAAGGTTTCATGGCCCTTTTATGAAAGACTACACCAACCCACACCCCATTCTTTTCCATCTTTTACTCACAACCTCCTCACGTACCTTAAGAACAAATGTATGCAAGGTAAGTACTCCCATCCCTATGAATTATTTCACTAATGGCCCATTCTAATTACATTTTAAAATTAAGAGTTTGGGTGATAAAATCTTACCTCTTGTGAAGAAGACCTATGTGCTTCTTTTGATAATCTTCAAGGTTTAAGCAAGAATCGAAGAGAAATTTCTATGATGAAGAACATCTTCTCCCTCTAAGATCCTCTTTCTCACTCTAAAGATATCAGAAATTTGGCTCAAAATGGCCTAAAGTGGTTGTTTTAATAGAATAGGGTCGGGTTTAAAAATGAGAAAATAAGAGCCCCGACATAGATCTGCAATCGCATAAGAAGTCCACAAATGAAGTGCAACTAGTCATGCGATCGCAGAACTCCCATATGACAAATCTCAAAGTTGGATATGCGATTGAAGTGCGTCCCGAAAAATGATTATGCGATCGCATAATGGGCCACAAAAATGACATCAAAATTGGCCAAAAAGACTAACTCATTCTGCAGCCATTCTGGGGCCCGCAGAGTGATTTTGCAGCCGCATAATGGGCCACAAAAATGCCTTTTCTACAAAATATTTTTCTTTAACTTTTTAACGCACTGTTCAATCCAAATATTCGAACCTCTACGCCTACTTCGGCACAACAGAATTTGGGTTTTTATGAAAAATTTTACGAGGCCTTACAGGGAGAGAATGATTGGGCCTAGATTTTCCTTGTCCGTTTTATCTCTTTCTGTTGTGCCAAGCTCATTTGTGTAGTATTCGGCTTGGGTTGTGTCCTCCTCTTCTAAAAGCATTTCCTTATAGAAATGTGTTGGGTTAGCGCATGAGGTTAATGTCCGGTGGTTCCGGGGTATGTTGGGTGGTTTGGTTGTATTTTCCATTATATGTGTAGCGAGATGTGAGAATTTCTCTCTCTACTGATGTAAAATGTAGGAGAATGTATATTACCCTTGCGTAACAATATAAAATTAACATCACATATTGATACTTAACTAATATAATGGTTGATAATCTATTAAATTTGTGAAGATTCATAAGTGGAAGAATTAAAATGGGAATTTTAATAAATTAAAGGTTAAATCTACTCAATCAAATATCACTGAGCCAAAATTAAAATTTGTCCAGACTAAAGGCACAAGCTTCTAAAAACAAATACTATATTTTGACAATTTGGTCCCCTGATACAATATTGTAAAATAATGTTTGGCGCTAAATTTTGGGTAGGGATAGAATTTTTATACTATTAGTTAGAGATTTCTAATTTGAACTTTGAGAATAAAAAGTATTGATAGGAAACACTTATCCTTTAATGGGCTTTACATGGCTGGAATACGAATTAAGTGGGACCCAAATACCAGACATCGGTTGGAAACAAAAAAAAGTTAGGAAAAACTACTTGACACAACAAACATATAAACTGTATCATTTATAGCTATACTTTTAGGAAATTACCATTCATAGCAATATTTGAATTTTATAGCAAATTCACCTGAAAGTATTGAAATAAGAGATAAGTTATTTTGAACTGAAATGTGAGAGCAACAAATCCTCGTAGCTTAGTTGGTTACATCACTCACTTAGTTAGTGGATGTCTTGAGTTCGACTTTCAATGAGAGCATTCTATTTTTTTTGTATTTTACATTGGTTATATTCGTTACTCGAAGGATACAGTCAATACAGATTGTATCTTTTGTATACACAGGTTGTATCTTCTGTATACACCCTTATAATTAGGCAAATTATAGTTACGTATGGTAATTAGACTCTAAACTATAATGCACATGTTGTATCTTTTGTATACACCCCTATAATTAGGTACATTATAGTTACATATTGTAGTAGACTCTAAACGATAGAACTTTATGAAAATTACTCAAAAGATTACCAAGAAAAAACATTTGGTGCTATATTGTAAAAACATAAAACAAGAGGGGTCAAAAGAAAAGAAAAAAAGATAAAACAAAAAACAGCAGCAGCAGTAGGTCTAACAAACAGTAGTATATAGAATCTTGAATGTGGACATGTTAACTACCGCTAAGAAATTAAGTTCAGTATATATGAAACAAATTTCACTGGTGGTTTCTACACCTTCTTCTTCTCCCTTCATTTCTTCATCACCTTTTTTATCATTTGGTTCCTCAATTTCTATATTCACTATCCCCTTCACCAATCCACGTGGCACTCAATTCTTGAATTTGAACTTTCAGTTCAGGTTTGTGTTCTGCTCATTTCTTTTATATATTCTTTGTTCCAAGTTTTCATTTTTGGAATGTGGGTGTTTGAGTTTTTGCATATTATCAAATTATCATGTGTTTATTTCGGCACCTTTTATGTGTATTTTGTTCAAAGTTTTCATGTTCGGTTGTGGGTATTTAAGCTTTTAGCTCATTATTAATTTATCATGTGTTTTTTTAGGTTCAAGTTTTTCAGTTTTGCTGATTATCAGTTTATCATCTGTATTTCCCATTTCTTTAACTTGTTTTGTTCAGAGTTTTGATTTTTGGTTGTGGTATTTAAATTTTTTATTTTTCGCGAAGAAGGGGAGCCTTGCGTAACTGGTGTAGCTGCTGCCATGTGACCAGAAGGTCACGGGTTAGTGGAAATAATCTTTTGCAGAAATGAAGGGTAAGACTGCCTGCAATAGACCCTTGCGGTCCGGCCCCTCCCCGGATCCCCGCATATCGGGAGCTTGGTGCACTGGGCTGCCTTTTTACTTATTATCAACTAATTCATGTATTTGTTTGGGCACTTTTTATGTGTATTTTGTTGCAGAGGTAAGTAAATGAATAAAAACTCTACTCCTGTTTAGTGTTTAAATTTTTGGATGAAGCGGTTTATGTAATTTAACATGGTACCAGTGTAAGCACGGGTTTGAATCTGAGCAACACTGTCCGATATATATCTAATACAAAATAATTCAGTGAATCACCTAACACGTGAAGGGGCGTGTTGCAAACTTAAATAAATAATGAGAAGTAACTCTGCTTGCGCAATTTAGAGGTTTAGATGAGATGGTTTGCACAATTTAACTTGTTTTATCATTTGGTGCAGTCTTAAACCATCTGTTTCATGATGTTATGCATTTTTTTCAGTCATAGAATGATTGTTATGCGATCCTTTGCATGAAAATGCAGATAGATGTATAAACTTTAGAGGCTGTTGAAGTGTACAAATGTAATTTACTTTTACTTGTAATGGATAAAAAAACAGAACGATGGCATCTCACGTTGTTGGATTTCCTCGTATGGGGCCCAAAAGAGAGCTTAAGTTTGCGTTGGAATCTTTTTGGGATGGGAAGAGCAGTTCCGAGGATTTGGAAAAGGTGGCAGCTGATCTTAGGTCATCCATTTGGAAGCAGATGGCTGAAGCTGGTATTAAATATATTCCGAGCAACACGTTCTCATATTATGACCAGGTCTTGGACACAACTGCTATGTTAGGTGCAGTTCCGCCAAGATATAGTTGGAACGGTGGTGAGATTGGTTTTGATGTATACTTCCCGATGGCTAGGGGAAACGACTCTGTACCTGCCATGGAGATGACAAAGTGGTTCGACACCAACTAGTAAGTGACGACTTTTCATTCAAGTGTTTTAACAACTTAGTGAACTCTGAGATCTGTTGCATATCATTGTGTAATTGAAGGTTAATATGAGATTCTTGTTCTTGGATGCAGCCACTACATTGTTCCTGAATTGGGGCCAGATGTTAAGTTCTGTTATGCATATCACAAGGCAGTTAATGAATACAAGGAGGCTAAATCGGTAAGTTTATGCCTCATACTAAAAGTTTCGACTTTCTTTCTTGTTGCAAACTATATTGCTCGGAGTTTCCGAAAATGTCACTGGGAGTGTGTCAGATCTTCCAAAAGTAGTGCATTTTTGGAGGATCCGACATGGGTGCGGCAGCATTTTGGAGAGTCAGGCAGCATTTGTTGCAAATATATATTAATATAAATGGTACAAGATGTTATATAAGGGGTTCTCAGCCTCACAAACATCAAATATGTCATTGCAATGAGATCACATTATGGGTGGTCCTTTGTTTTGTTTTTAATTTAACCATGGTGTCCGGGCGAGCTTAAGCGCACCTCGACTAATTCTACGGGATTCCTGCTACCTCCCACCACCAACAAGTGCCAGATAATTCTAGGTAATTTTGTCCACTAAGGCTTGGACAGATAGGACGAAAATGCCTAGTGTTTTTTTGTCTATGCTGGGATTTGAACCTGAAACCTCATGGTTCTTAACCAACTAAACGGGTGTTGTTGCCTGGGAGTAGTAACAAATTTTAAGTTTCAGGATTAACTTACATATTTAGATAGGAAAACCAAAATGACTCTGATGCATAATTCGAGGATATACCGAAAAGGGTCAACTCTGCTTAGAGGTCCGCTGAGCACTTTGTATCATCGGTATCATAGTAGAATTGCACTTAGTAACCCCTATTTTGTTGTCTTTATTGAAAACCATCCTGATGTGGTATTGACTCGTATTTTCCTAGTATAAACTGATAGCCACATGTCAGTTGTTTTAGTTTGTTCCTCCAATTAACTGAATCTTTTGGAATTATTTGGTGTGCTGATATTGGTTTCAACTTTTTGATTTTGCAGCTAGGTGTTGACACCGTCCCTGTTCTTGTCGGTCCAGTTTCCTTCCTCTTGTTATCAAAAGCAGCAAAAGGTGTTGAAAAGTCGTTTCCTCTTCTCTCACTGATTGACAAAATTCTTCCTGTTTACAAGTAAGATAAAACAAATTTCCCTTATTTATTATTTATCCTGTATTTCTATCTTATAATGTTCACCACAACTGCCTTGTATCGTGCTGCTCATTTAGGGAAGTCATTGCTGAACTGAAGGCAGCTGGTGCAAGTTGGATTCAGTTTGATGAGCCTACTCTTGTTAAAGATCTTGATTTTCATCAATTAGGGGCATTTTCTCACGCTTACTCAGAATTAGAGTCATCACTTTCTGGTTTAAACGTCCTCATTGAGACATACTTTGCGGATGTTCCTGCTGAAGCTTTCAAAACAGTGACCGCTTTAAAAGGTGTTACTGCATTGGGGTTTGATCTTGTTCGTGGATCGAAGACTCTTGATTTGATCAAGAGCGGTTTTCCTTCGGAGAAGTATCTTTTCGCCGGAGTAGTTGATGGGAGGAATATATGGGCTAATGATCTGGCTTCTTCTCTCAGTACCTTGCAAGCTCTTGAGAACATAGTCGGAAAAGGTAATGCGTTATAACTGCACTTTTATACATTGAATCGTGAAATCTGAGCCGCATATGTTCTCAGGAAGCCTAGAAATTTATGTTAATTGTGATTTTCTTTTTATTCTCTAGCTTTTCGTTAGGGGATTTAACGGCATAGAATAGGCACCATAAGGTCTGTTTCAAACTTTGAAGTATTGCAGTCAAGAATTTCGGCTGTTTGGTTATTCCATTATCCTTTGTTATCCCCACAATTTCATATACAATGTTAGTCTTCCAAAATTTTCTACACTTTTGGTATGCATGTTGACTTTTAGACGTGTACTAGTAAAGTGAATCCTCGGTTTGCTCTTTGCTTTATCTCGAAATAAGGAAATAAATGAAATCTTTGCAACTATATATAACTATTTCTATAAGTGAAAATGATCTTAGTCCGTGCATTATTGGAAGCATATGAGTGATGTTCTTGGGCATTTCTTTTCCTCAGACAAGCTTGTGGTCTCCACGTCCTGCTCACTTCTCCACACTGCAGTTGATTTAGTGAATGAGACTAAGTTGGATGAAGAAATTAAGTCATGGCTTGCATTTGCTGCACAAAAATTGGTGGAAGTCAATGCATTGGCAAAGGCATTAGCTGGCCAAAGAGACGAGGTATTTTGACATATTTATGTTAATCATCTACATGGAAGATTTATCATCATTCTGGATCAGTCAAAGATAAATCTAGAGCATATCGGATTCAAATAGTAATGAATCTTTAAATCCTAATATTGGTTATATTTTACAATGAAGTTTCTGTCTGCAGGCATTCTTCTCTGCTAATGCTGCGGCTCGCACTTCCAGAAAATCCTCTCCTAGAGTGACAAACGAGGCTGTTCAAAAGGCTGTAAGTATATTTAGGTGTTTTATAATTAATATCGATTTTATTATAGTTTAAGCTGTTTGGAATTATCGACTCATAACTCGCATCTCATGTTCAGGCTGCTTCTTGGAAGGGCTCTGATCATCGCCGAGCCACAAATGTCAGTGCAAGGTTGGAAGCTCAACAGAAGAAGCTGAATCTTCCCCTTCTTCCAACCACTACTATTGGTTCTTTCCCTCAGACGTTAGAGCTAAGAAAAGTTCGCCGAGAATACAAGGCTAACAAGTTAGCTATTTACTTGTGCAGTTACTCTTTTTAAATTTGTTATGGTTTATGTCTGCATATTAAATTTTTAGGCTGCTGCAAAAGATAATAGCGGACAAATGTATATGTTTTGTATGTTAAGTATTATATACATAAATATACAAATAATATACATAATCAGTGTATATGTTTTGTAGATTTGGGCTACCGCCCACAATTAATTTCTGCCGATGGGCCAAAAATGAAAAAAGCCCTAAAAAATTTCCTCCGACTATTGTAGGATCTCGGGGGAAGGATATGTCAAGTATATAACAGAGGAAATCAGCAAAGTAGTCAAACTCCAGGAAGATCTAGACATTGATGTTCTTGTGCATGGAGAGCCGGAGGTGAGATATATAAGTCAAGTAATTGTATATATGCTTATGCCGAAGAAGCTGAGACCACTTAAATTTCATCACCGAAATGCAGAGAAACGATATGGTTGAGTATTTTGGGGAGCAATTATCTGGCTTTGCTTTTACAGCCAATGGATGGGTTCAATCTTATGGATCCCGCTGTGTTAAGCCGCCAATTATCTATGGTGATGTTAGTCGCCCAAAACCAATGACTNCCGAAACCAATGACCGTCTTTTGGTCTTCACTGGCACAGAGCATGAGTAAGCGCCCGATGAAGGGAATGCTTACCGGTCCTGTTACTATTTTAAACTGGTCTTTTGTTAGAGATGACCAGCCGAGGTTCGAACTCTTAAGCTTGAACACAATAGTCTATCTTTCTTTCCCGCCGCACTTTTAGTTTAACTGATCTGTTGTTGTTTTTTTAGGTTTGAGACTTGCTATCAAATTGCTTTGGCTATTAAGGATGAGGTTGAAGATCTTGAAAAGGCTGGCATTAATGTCATTCAGATTGATGAAGCTGCTTTGAGAGAGGGTTTGCCTCTTAGAAAGTCCGAGGAAGCTTTCTACTTGAACTGGGCTGTACATTCATTCAGGATAACTAACTGTGGTGTTCAAGACACTACACAGGTCCATATTCACTCTAAGTTTTCATTATAAATATAATTATAATTATGTGCAAAAGTATCTTATGCTAGCTTCTTCTTCAAAAGTTATCTTCCTACATCAAAATATCTATCCTGGATAGTCAATGTATTATCCTACTAAACTAGCTCCCGAAATTCATGCACCCTTTCACTGACAGGTGGAGCTAGCATGTAGGATACGGGTTCGGCCGAACCCAGTAGCTTCGGTCCAAATCTTATATTTGTCTTAAGAAATTCATTGAATATGTACAAATTAACAATTTTGAACCACTAACTTAAACGTACTAGAATCCCGAACTCATAAATCTCAAATTCTTGCTTCGCTTCTCCTCACAGAATAGGAAGAAAAAAGATAAGAATATTAGAAAAGGTTAAGGAACATAATGTTTTCGATGTCCAACGGTATTGCAACAAGGGGATGGAAAGAGTCATAAGAAAATTCATGTGTGAAATTGGTGTTTTCTTTCCAATAGTTGTCAGATAAAGCTAAGAGCTCGGTAGAGCCGGGAGGTGTTTTATTGTTATTAGGGAAGGTTTTTTTCTTTAAGGTAGTAATTTTCTTCTTTACCTTAGAGCTTTGTTGCCGTAGTTAAAAGGTAGCACATGATGTGTGGGTTAGGCGCATGTCACGAGTTCAAACCCTGCTGCGGAAAAAACGTGGTTTTTTTAAGTAGAGAAGGGTAGAAGGGCGGATTATTATCCACCGAGTTTCAGACCATACGCCAGCTAGCCTTGCTGATTTATTAGTAAAAAGAGGTATGTAAAATTTTATCTTCTTTAATAGGATTCTGATCAATATTGCCATTTGTTGTGACAGATTCACACCCACATGTGCTATTCTAACTTCAATGACATCATCCATTCAATTATCGACATGGATGCTGACGTCATCACGATCGAGAACTCCAGGTCAGATGAGAAGCTTCTTTCTATTTTCTGCGAGGGAGTGAAGTATGGTGCTGGCATTGGCCCTGGAGTATACGACATCCATTCGCCAAGGATTCCATCGGCAGAAGAAATTGCTGAAAGAATCAGCAAAATGCTTGCAGTTCTTGATACCAACATCCTCTGGGTTAACCCTGATTGTGGCCTCAAGACGCGCAAGTATACGGAAGTTAATCCTGCTCTCAGCAACATGGTAGCCGCTGCTAAGCTTCTCCGCGCACACTTGGCCAGCACCAAGTGAGATAGTCGATCCAATGATGCGTCCTCTTTGAATTTACAAGAGCAGTTTTACTTTTATATTCAAGAATCAGGGAGAACACTCTTCTCCAGGAAATGATATGTAGGCTTCTGAGTTCTGGCAAATTGATATTTGCTATATCGGCTTCTTTAATCTATGTGCTTTGTATGTTCTTCATAACATATTATCTTTCCTTTACTTCATTCGTTATATTCTTGGATAACCTAATGTAGCATGTAACACATCTTATTTTTCAAGTGATTAGTATCACCTTTTATGGATGATTAGTTATATTATTTTTTGGTGACTTAACGGTAAAAATTCTTTTTAATTGTCTGTATAGAAGTTAAACTCATATATAGGGGAACCTGGAAGCAATTTGTTTTTTGTAGTGAAATGAATTCACTGGGAGATGAAGCTGATGTAGTGTCGTTACTACTTGTTGCGATTGCTAATGCTATTGCTTTCTTCCATTTATTTTGCGGTTCATACATTGTTGATATCACTTTTCTGGCTTTTATTGTTAGATATTTGCTTGTTTCTATTCTTCTTCTCGAGCCAAGAGTCTGAAATTTCTACCCCCACCCCCACCCTCACCCTAAGCACCCCCGCGGTATGCGTACACACAACTTTCCTCATATCTCACTTGCGGAATTTCACTGGGTTATTGTTGTATGAAGCTTCTGGAGCAACTCAAGAATATGAAAAATTTGTGCCATCATCAGAGCTAGTTCAGGAAAATGCCTCTCGACACTCTTCTCCTTAATCTTCCACGCGGTACACAATAGATCCTTAATCTTCCACACGGTATACAATAGAAACTCAAAGGCGGATCCAAAATTTAAATGCAATGGAGCCACCTCAAATATATCCATATTTATCAAAACTTTCATATATAGAATCCGAATCGAGACAGTAGATGCATATGCACCCACTACTCATATCAGATCTGCCTCAAGAAATATCAATTACCAACTTAATAACATGAGAAATTACAGTTAACTTGAGCGGAAATTTTACTACTCTCTCCGCATGAGACATTTAAAAAATGAAGGTACATTCCAAATTCAAAGTTCACTATTCTCAGCATGATATCAAATTCCACAATGGTACCACTGAAGAAGGTGACTTCTCAATAGATTCAGTAACCTTTTCAGCAGATGTGGACTGTTTTGGAGATTTAGTTTCCTTAGTTTCCATGAAAGGTTTGGTTTTGGAGATTTCATCTTCCAAGTCCGAGGGAAACAGTTGCCTGAAATTGGAAAAGATGTAAAAAGAATGTAGAAAACTAAAGGAGGGTATTAGCTATTAGCTATATCCATTTAGCTCAAGCTGTCAAAAGAAAGTAAGAAAGTAAAGAAGGGTATTAGCTATTAGCTTACATTTTGTTAAAGCTATATAAGCGACCTTGCCAGCATTTCTTCTGCTTGTTTCTTGGACTTTGCAGCATCCCCATGAAAGACTTCTCCTTCAATTTCTACACTTAGAAGAATGTGAGACTCGCCAATCCTAATTGTTTTATATTCAGACAGGCAAAGTTCTTCATGTTGCGCTAGTTGTTGCAGGAAACTCTTGTAATTGCTGGTATTACTCTGCAACAAAAAGAATAAAAAGGATGAAACAGTAAGGTCAGTTATTAGCAGTATAGAAGAAATAATGTTAATGACATTATCGACTCCAGGGCCCATGCCAGCACCACATTGCACTCCCTCATGGAACACAGAAAGAAGCTTCTCATCTGACAGGAAGTTGTTATTGATATTCAAAAACTTAGGAAATGATAATACCTGAAGATAACTAAATACCACTGAAAATGATAATCCTAGACGTATAATGTGCACACATAAGGAAACTCGAGTTATTTCTCATATTAAGAGTGCAATAAAATATGATTCTGAACATAAAGCAGAGTGGCAAAAGAATTAAAAATCAGAACAGGTGTACCTCTTAAATAAGCTAGCTTGGAAAGCTTAAGCAATGTTCTAATTGTCGTGCTTTTACCTTCCGTCATTTTGGATGCGATTTCTTTGGCCAAGGTAAAAGGAAATTACATCATATTGATAACAAGTGAAATAAATATTCACTTCTAACTTCCCGAGTGAAATTGTGGTATTGTGTCGAGCAAAGAAAGATCCTTCGCTGAAACGTCTATTAGTAACTCTACAGAACTTGCATCAAACGAGAAGTCCCTTCCACTCATTTCCTTCAAAAAAGTGTTCATTTCACTAATTTTGCCACACTTGAGAAATCCTTGCACAATAACATTGTAAGTGCAGTTGTTTGGCGAACAACCATTGTGCTCCATTTTTCTTAGCATATCTTTAGCTTCATCCAACAACCCTTCTAGACATAGTCCATTTATTATTGTAGTGTATGTGATCACATTAGGAAACAATCCAATCAAAGAAAGCTTCTCAAAAATAGCATGAGCTTTGTCGAGCTGACCATTTTTGCACAATCCGTCAATAATAACAGTGTAAAGTTCAATATCAATATCTTCTCTCTTTTTTTCCAACTCATGAAATAGAGACATAGCTTTTTCAACAAGTCCATTCTGAAAATAACCACGGAGCAAAATGCGATTAGTGCATAAATCGGGTATGAGCCCCATAGAAAGCATATCGGCAAAGAATTTTTGCACAATGTCGGTTCTTCCAACTTCAAATAGACCTCGAAAATAGTATTGTAGGTAACAATGCTAGGTTTTAATCCATTTCGAGAAATTTCATGAAACAAATGCATGGCCTCATCCAATTTCTTTTTCTTACAATATCCATTTATTAACGTACTATAGCTAAAAATGTCAGGCTTAATGCTCTTATCAGTCATGGAATCAAAAAGGCTCCTTGCTCTATCCATTTGACCACGCAAGCAATATCCATCAATTATCACATTGTAGGTGACCACATTAGGCTCCACACCTTTTCCATTCATGTGTCTCATTACCTCCTCAGCATCTTCAACTTTTCCTTCTTTGCATAGTGTTGTTCCTCTGTACTTGTAAATAATGATTCTGGAAATTAGAATGTTAGCTTATAAACGTAAATATAAATAAAAAAACAGAAATTAATTCGAGCCCACTGAATTCAC